CCCCCCCCCCCCCCCCCCCCTTTTTTTTTTCCCAACAGCGACAGTAAACAAGTGAAACAGAGTGCAAGAGAATGGTAATGAATGGTAAATTAATAATAAACAAAAATGATGCAAACGGGGAAGCGAACGTGACAATCCACAAGTTTGCATTTCCATTTTATAGAGGACATATAATTGATGCAAGGTTGACAAGTTGAAGATTGCAATTGCAAACTATCAAGACGTGTAATAGTAATAATTGTAAAGCTTCTCGGTATGTACAGGCAAACCTGTTTTTGTGCGGTAGATAGGGACCGCAGAAAAAAAACCGCACAAAAAAAAAATATTCAAAAACTTCATAAATAGCTATAAGAAATAATTTTTCACAGCATATTAAAGAAAATTTTTTTTATGCGGTAGAGAGGGACCGCATAAAAAAAGTCTCACTTAGAAAATATGTCAAAGCTTCACGAAATAGCAAGAAAGTGCTTTCCAAACGAAATAAATAATTAAATTACACATTGAAACATTTAAAAAAATTTTAATTTCTAATTTTAAACAAGGAGAAATTTTCAAAATGTACATAATTCAATACTACTCGTCGTAGTTCAAAACGCGCATATTTTTGCGATGAACTGGTTTGTAATCGCTTTCGTCACTTGAAGATACTACAGTTGATTTATTTTTTGTTAACATGTAGTCGGTGATAAGTTTTTGCGACGACGGTCGTTTGATCAGCTGTTTGTAAACGTCGCGATAGCCAGATATACACAATCGAAGCTCTTTTTGGAATTTCAAACTTCTTTGAGAATTGTTATCTATTTTAAGAAAATGCTTTTCCAATTTGCTGCAAAGCTGGATCCATGCATATATTTTATCCGCTGTAATAGATTCCGGTTCTTCTTGTCCGTCTTCATGATCTGTTAAGTTATTGATAATGTCACTATCATTTACGGTTTCGTCCTCAATCATTTCAATAAGATCATTTTCGCTGAAAGAGTCAAAACTTTCTCCGCAGATTTGATGTGCTAGCGCAATGATATCTGATGATAAAGTGGACGTGTTGTTGGTTACATTTCTATTAATGACACATTCAGGCCAGACCGCTTTCCAGTACTAGGTATGAAAATGGCTATTGCAATGTGTACATACACACTGATAGCAAAAAATGTGATGCCAACACAGTTCAGATTGACCTAACCTCTCGGCGAAATTCAATGTGTCGATATTCATATACCGCACAAAAAAAATGAATCGCACAAAAAGAATCGCACAAAAAAAAGAATCGCACAAAAAGATTCGCACAAAAAAAGCACATAAAAAAAGACCGCACAAAAACAGGTTTGACTGTATAAAATTTCTTAGCAGATATTACATACCAATCGCCAAATATCCTTAACATTTATGCTCATTTCCATACACCTGAAAACATATGATTTTGAAAGGGAATGAATGTATGATGATTAGGATCCCACATGTGTGTGTGTGTGTGTGTTATATAATAGCCGTAGTTACTTAGATGGTCCAATTATGGTCCTGTTTTCATGGACCTACTCAACGTTGGGCGCCAAAATTGCCTTGTAGCATTCTACAATCTAATATGGTTGGCGAGATGAGAATTAAAAATTATTGAGGCCTAGCTCGTCGACAGCCCCCGGTGCGGGTTCTAAAAGACATTCTAATTTCCTTTGCTTTGCCAACTCTACCGACATAACTTAAAAAATGTGCGTCAATTAAGAGAGAAAAAAGAAAAAAAAAAGAAGAAAAATAAAGCGGACAGACAGAACTAAACATTAATACAACTTCACAAGCCATTGAACCATTGTTCTCCTGCACTTTGTTTACACTACTGCCTGGCTAGGGGCGTCAAGCGAAACTATCCTAACCTAATTTTTTCTTTTTTTTAAAAGGCAAACTATCTTTACTTTACTGATTTTTTTTTGTTTCCAATCTTAACTGTAAATCAATCACTGGCCAAAAAAAAAAAAGAAAAATTCTAGTAAGTGCAGCTCTTTTACTGATTCTATGTTTAATTTTAAAAAGGAAAAAAAAGTGATAAAATACTTTCTGAGCTAGGCGCTGTTTGAGGAACTACTGCATGCCCGCGCTTATGATCTCGATGTGCATATATATTTTTTGGATAGATTGGTATGACTGTTGGAAGCAGCCTGGCATAAATTTCGCGGCACGGGCCCTTCTGGGTTGTTTAAACAATCTTGTTGACGGGGATTGTTTTTTTTTTTTCAATTCATCTGCAGAACGATATTCAGTCGATTGTTAAACGATTTCCGAATCATCAGCATAAACTTGAAGTTTCATTTTAGATCATTAGATCGTTTCGATATTATATAGCAACAAAATCTACAAGATCTCTTTAAGTTAACTAAGGTTCGTCTTCGACTATCTTCCGATCCTCATTAAATGATTGGTAACACTTGCAAACTTGTAATTGCGACAAAAACACTTATTATTGCGACACTTTATAACAAACATTTTGAATGCAACAGAACAAGACATTTCATTTAATATTTTTGACAGCAACAAATACAATAAACAAAAATCTTTGTTTAACAGATTTTTGCAATTCTAAAAATCGCTGACAACAAAATTGGCATACTTTAAATAAAACAAAGTCAAAATAAAGTGTGCGTCTCGAAATTTGTGTCACACAAATCTGTTGACAACAGTCATACCAACCTGCCAAGAAGATATGCACATCGGCAACGCAGCGCGGATATGTTAAGCAAAATACAATCTCATTACTTTTCCATCTGTCCATAATAGATAGTATAATAGTAAATTATGTATGAGAACATGATATAAATTGGTAAAACTCTTTTAAAGAAGTTTTCTAATACAAGAAGAATAAAAAGAAAAAGAAAAAGAAGAAGAAGAAGAAAGAAAGAAAGAATATATGATGATAAAATAATATTTATAAGCATTTTGAATCCGCCTGAGTGGTCGAGTAGGCAAGAGTCTCGACTGGCAACTCAATGGTCGTGGGTTCAAATCTCAAGTGCGGTAGAAAGCCGAAAGCCTTAGATGCTAGTGCTTTAAGACTTTAGTCTTAGAATTTATTCTCTGGCTAAGTTTATAATAATAATAATAATAATAATAAGCATTTTGACTGTTGTCGTCGTCGTCGTCGTCGTCATCGTCGTTGTCGTTTAGTCTGAGTCTTCTTAAGAGTCCACACTTTGGCCAAGTGTTTGCCTTCGATGACAATTGTTTAATTGCATAAAACGAAGTTAATCTGCTTATAGCCAAGTCTGCTGTGCTCTTCCATCTAATTGCAACTGATGTTGTTATTGATATGTAAAGTTTTTCGATTGGACAAACGTAATGACATTGAACTGAAAAATAAGTTATCATTACATGATCCTAAACATGTCCTACCATGCCTACCGAGGTGTATATAATTCTAACTGGCATCGCCGCAGAAGTATGTGTATAAAAGTGATTTGTACATTTCTGTTAAAATACGTTAGAACAAAAGCCTCATAGATAGACCTCATTTTGTTTCTGGTATTTGTCGATGCGTAAGTGTGATTGAGCGAAACAAAAGAGCATCAACACCAGCATTCATGAACGTTAAAAATAAAGTAGATACCTACCACCTCTATCCAGTTGTCTAATGATGATCTAAACGTATTATATACAATTTCAGAATTTATTAAACATATATATATATATATATATATATATATATATTTCATTAATATTGAATATTGAAATAATAATTACGCGTCAGTTATTATATAATAATATTTGGATCACAATCATTTGTGATTGAATCATAACGCACATGTGTGATGTTATATGATTTTATCCGCGCTTTATCCGTGTTTTCGAAGAAAAAGTTCACTTTTAGAATCTTATCTTTATTTGGGATAAGAAGAAGAAGAAGAATTTTTTAGTCTTTTGAAAATATTTCTGTCTAAATAAAGAACTGTTTGTTTCATTTTGCTCTCAATGAATAATAATAATAATAATAATAGCAATAATAATAATAATAATAAAAACAATAATAATAATGATAATAATAATACATAATTGATTACAATAAATAATAATAAAAAAAAAGTTCGTGTTGGTTATGATTTATGAATTCCCATATGAAATTAATTAAAACAGCTTCAGTGGTGGTGGTGGTGGTGGTGGTGGTGGTGGTGGTGGTGATGATGATGATGGTGATGATGATGATGATGATGATGATCATAACAGTGATTATGGCGGTTACTATCGTCCTGTGCAAGTGATTGATTATTCAAATAACACCGTGACACCAAAAGTGATAGACTATGGGCATAAACCGGCTGATGAATATAAACCGATTAAAACCATAGATTATGGTCATGCGTCTAAGCCGAACAAACTGCAACACCAGCAATTAACAAACAACAACAACAACAACAAGCAACAGCAACAGCAACAGCAACACCAAACAATGGCTCAGCAGCGTTTAAGTTATACACAAAGAAAAAAATTGCGTAAAAAACTTAAACAGCAACAAAAACAACGTACAGAAATTGATAAAACACAAGATAATGAAAATAAAATTGAAGAAGATAAATCTAAACAACAATATACTAATAATAATGATGATAATGGTTATAAGGTAAGTTCAAAGATATTATATGGCCAGGATGAGGAAAATTGCTCAGAATTATTATAAACTTTTTTGCATTCAGAAAGAAGAAGTACAGTCTGAACAACAACAACAACAACAACAACAACAACAACAAGGTGTGATACCTGAAAATGACAAAGAAAAATCTAACGATGATTTGGAAGAAATTTCAGATGCTGAGGAGTAAGTTGCGTTTGCGTTTGCATATTATTAAATACATACTTATATAAATACAAATTATTATGTCAATTGTTGCCATAGCCTAAACGAAAACATTGATACATATGTGGATGAGGGCCCCCCAGCCCCGCCACCGCCACCTATGCTTAGTTCAGGTTCGAAATTTATGCCTATTTATAAAATTAGCAGTGAGACACCTACGTCAATATTTCCATCCACGGCAATTGCCAATGAAAATATACCTAAAATGTCGGCGAAACATGTGCAAATGTCATTCCCAAGCGTTGAAAATCAAAACACAATTTCTGTCGATGAGATTTTATTTAAACCGGGACGTTTAACGCGACCCAAAAAGATATGTGTTATATTAAGAGGACCACCCGGTAGCGGTAAATCGCATGTTGCGAAATTAATCAAAGAAAAGGAAAAAGAAATGGGTAGCGGAAATCCACGTATATTAAGTGTTGATGATTACTTTTTAATTGAGAATGATTATGAAGAGAAATGCCCAAAAACTGGCAAAAAGGTAAGCAGAATGAAATCATTTAAACAAATTAAATTAATCTATTTTTTTTTTTTTTTTTTTTTTTTTTTTTTTTTTTTTTTTTTTTTTTTGCTTCTTTCTAAAACAATTTGCAGATACCTAAAAAAGAGATACTATATGAATATGATAGCGATATGGAAGAGACATATATGCAATATTTGATCAAATCGTTTAAGAAAACGATTACCGATAATTTATATGATTTTATTGTGATCGATTGTAATAATAATTCATTACGTACTTTGAATGAATTCTATTGTCATTCAAAAGATTCGGGATTTATGGTAAGCTCAATATAAGTTAAGTGAGATTTTTTTTTTTTTTTTTTTATAATTCAAATATAATTAATTAATTAAATTTTATTAAATTTATTTATTGTAAACATATATATATATATATATACATATCTTATATTTATTTATTTATTTATTTATATCTATATATATATATATATATATATATATATATATATATATATATATATAAATATATATATATTTTTATTTGTCTATATTTAAACGTTTCCTTTAGCCATATATAATTGATTTATTTTGCGATTTGGAAACTTGTCTTAGTCGTAATATACATCAACGTTCCGTGGATGATATTAAAAGTATTATCGATACGTGGAAACCTACGCCGTTGCACTACATCAAATTGGACGTTTCTACTTTGCTTGAAAATGTTATCGAAATGGAGGATGCCGAAAATGTCGCCGTGGTAAATATAAATCCAATTAAGAATAAGAGCCTGAAAAAAATTGAAAGAATTTCTTTCTACACTTATTCATACCTATATATATATATATATATATATATAATACATACAAATATATATATATATAACGTATTCAACGTATTCAACGTTTTTTCTTTTTGTTTTTTTTTTTTTTTTTTTTTTGATTATGTGCATTAATCAATCACATGTGAAATGTGTGAATCTGTTTATCTATCTTTGCCTGTTTATGCAAATTCCGAATATGTTTTTTTTTTTTTTTCAAATTTTATTTCGGAATAGCAGATTTTTTTCTCATTTTTCTTTTCTTTTCTTTTTTTTTAATTTACGCAACGAGATAAATTAAATTTTCGCGCTTCCCCTTTGCAATTAACAAAAATTAAATTTCCTACTGAATTTTGTGCAATACGTATTGCTTTATTTTATTACATATATTCTTCGCAGATATTACTTATTACTTATTATATAATATGCAAATCTTTCGAAATGATGCATACTGAACTGAATATATTTGCATGTTATGAGTTTTAAGTTACGAGCTGTTGAATATGTTACGATTTTATCTTGTTTAGGGTACTACATATATATATTTTAAATATTGTGTGTGATACGTAGCTTACGTAGTCTCTTTTTCTTTAACAATACTTTCATATATAATTGAAAGGTTAAAATTTTTCATTGTAAATGTTTTTCATATGCAACACTTGACGCCGCCATTTCATTGAAAGTAACTGAAAATATATTATTTAATTTAGCTTAAATTGATAATTCCCTATTATCAGCCATACTCACGTATAGCGGCACTGTTCTCCATACATTTTGTGCATAGATTATTAGACTATTCGTTACAACAAGTTTCATTCACTTGAACAATTATTACGAATACAATCTTATCTTATAAGCTATCAAATCTGTTAACTCCTGTGTGGACTTTGACATTTTGAAATGTCAAAAGAAATCGGAAAAAATGACAAATATTAAAAACATTACACACAAGTAAACTATCAAATGATAATGAGCCGTGATTATGAAAAGATCCGATATCCCGATAACAAAAAAAAAAAAGGCCAATAAATATTACAATAGTACTGTTCTAAGCAATTAATGGAAAATATAAAAAGTCTTAGGAAATGCTTCTATGATCATAAAAATGTTATATAATATGTGCATTTATTTTATATATATTTGAGTCTCCGTCTTAGGAACACTATCATGAAATTTTAATTTGAAAAATTGCATCGAGCATAGAAAATGCAATAAAGTGTTAAATTAATAATGAGAAAAAAAAAAAAAAAAAAATACAAAGATCATCTCAACTAGACGTAACATATCCTTATGGTGAGTCGGTTGGTTGGCATTACTTTCAGTAGGAAGATTTCTCTGCTTTGACATAGAGAATATTTCTTTTATATTGATAAACATTTCTTCGTGTTGCAGGCGAAAACTTATATCACTACACTCTGTCTCTCTCTCTCTCTCTCTCTCTCTTTCTCTCACTGAAAATGAATGAAAGGACTAAAATTATATGATTACTTTTTAGCATATTTCTATGCCCAGTGGTTTTTAAAATCTCATGCTTCCATAACAATAAATATACTAAACAAGAAGAAAACTTTCGAAAATTTAAATATTTTACATTAAGTAAGAAAATGTTGAAAATTTTCAAATTTTCCAATTTTCTTAAAAACAAAAAAAAAAAAAAAAAAAGGAATTGAATTAACATACATTCGAAAATGCTTTAGGTTAATACTTTTACTTTGACCTAAAATGCTCACAATGCTCACAATTCACGTATGCACGATAAACGAAGTGAATTCTTTTTATTTACAGGATGAAAATAAAGCAGTAGAGAATAATGAAAACGATTCCGGGAACCAAATGGTTTCCGAAGGTGGAAACGAAGATAAAGATATCGAAGATGATAGTAATGATGGATCTGTAAACGTAAGTCGTAAAAAAAACAATCATTTCTTAAATTATATTTTATTAAAATACTTGAACAAATATCTTCAGGAGTATGAAATTCTCCGATATATTCTCTCATATGTATATAGGAATTATAACAATTTAAGCTTTTACTACTATTATGATATTTGTTTAAAAAGAAAAAAAAAAAAAAAAAAAATCGCAAAAGAGCGTTTTTTCTTTTCATTAGAAGACGCTACTCTGAAATATTTTGCTGTTAAGAGCTTAGTTAGGCTCAAGTTTTATGAAACTTTTTGTTAAAGTCTTTGAAACAAAACTTAAGATTTTAATAAAAGAAAATATACAATTTTCTTTAAAAATTTAACGATTTCTTAAAACAGTGCGGATTTCTAAAAAGCAAGTGGGAAACCGATAATACTTCTGAAAATTTAGGTAAGTATTGTTTCAAATGTAATTGAAATTAATTTTAAGAATATGTATTATATATGTAATACAATTTTTATTATTTTCTATTAACAGCCCGTTTGGATGGCACAAGAAAATTGGGTACTAAACGTAAACCGACAATGGAAGAATATTTACAAATGGACGATTGGCAGCCGCGGATCGCAACGAATGGTAAAAAACGAGTAAGTTGCATTTATTAATGCGATTATTTCTTTTCACCCCCCAACCCGTAATCGGTAGATTATTTTCTGTGCTTTCATTTTTCATATGCTTTAAGGTACGTTGGGCTGATATCGAAGAGAAACGTGAACAAGATAAAATGCGTGCTGTGGGTTTTGTTGTCGGACATACCGATTGGAAACGCATGATGGATCCGAATGCAGCTAATCGCGCTTTAAATAAAACTAAATATATAGAACGCGTTAAAAAACGTCGCTGAATACTACGTTCACATAATTTAGATTTACGCTTTCCAATAATATAATATGTTTAAATAATCACATCAAATACATATTTATCTGTAGGCTCTGCTACTTTGTTTGAGTTAATATTTTATCTTAACAATATCTATGCACTGTCTTATACACTTGTCACAAGTGAATGAAATACATACTTATACAAATCGATATAAATATGTTCGGGGTTTCTCCGCAATTCATACGAACAATTGTGTTAACAAAAACAACTAAAAGAAGGCTTTCGCTATGTTCGTCTGTCGTGGCGCCGATTATAAATTCTAAATTTTACATCTGCAGTATTTAACTTGGGGTTCATTCTCTCTTTGTCACTTTACTCAAATCATGTATGAAAAGTATGTAAATTCTTAGAGAGCTTTTGATGGCATATCTATCAAAAAATGTTTGTGATACATCATTGAGCCTTATTCGTGCAGTAGCTTTTGCATTGTTTCAAATAATGCAAATATATTATAGGGTAAATCCGAAATACCCTATAAAAGTGGCTGCAATGAAATACGCAGAGATACAAAAAAAGTTTTGAGTATATATTCGTGCGTAGCGTTGTACGTAGTGGGTTTCAAAGATTCGGTTGAGAACGAATGCAATATCCTTTTCCATTTCTATTTTTATTTTTGTGTCTCTTCGTCTTTTGCTTTTTATTTTGCTTCTTTTGTCATTTCATTTCATTTTTTTATTTTTTTTTTTACATTGATACGTTTGTAAAATTATTTTTATCGAAATAATAATAAAATAATAGAAAATTTATCAAATATGAATTGATTTAATTGTATTGTATAATTCCACAACTTTTCCCAATACTCAAATATATATTGGTTAAGTTGATCTTATTAAGCCTTAATTTCGTCCGTTTCATATGATTGATCAATCTTATCGAAACAAATAATATTTACAAGAATATCTCCATTAAAAAGGAGTTAATATTTTATAAATATATATATGATATCGATTTTTAATATTTCCAGAATAAATTTATTGTAAACTTATGTCTAAAACTTGGAAGGTTTTTGTTTTTAAAAATGAATTCCAAGTGATTTAATATTTTTGAAAGATTTCATAAAATAAAATTCGTAGCTCTTACGCCGTTTTTATTTTTTTTTATTTTTTTTTTATTTTCTAAATTTAACGCTTTTGCAGTAAATAAAAATAATGCGATCGCACATATAAACATTCAAGATATGATGATTAGTTTAATTGTATGTGTCCTGAAATGATATTCTTTTGCTTATATTCTATTTCTATTGGAATAGCGTGGGTTTAAATGTATTCATCAGTAGATAGCGTACGCATGAAGAATGAAGAAATGTTTTTTGTCTTTTCGCTGGCGCATATTTATGAAAAATTGTATGCCATTAATGGCAGTAATGATGTCATAGCCGTTGTCTCTGCACTTATTATTGTATTGTATTCTTGATCAGTGCAAGAATGTTAATTTGTTTAATTATGTCCTCATTATGTCCTTTCGTGATGTTGTGATAATGAAACTCTTCAGATCTCATAAACACAGAAGTAGAAACGAGTTTTTTTGTTGCCTGCTTACGGCCATAATCGAATTATAGGCAAAAGAACTGAAGAGAAATGAGAATGCCCGTCACATCGCATGGCGTGTTCCAAATTTAGCAAATTTAATTTACCTCCTAAAAATTATGTTATAATTTTTCAGTTTCCGTTATAAAAAAAAACTAGAAATTGAACTTACCCCCTGTAAGAGGGCTTGCATCTCATGATAATCCCTACATTTGTTGGATCCTAAAAGATAGACCCATGTCATCAAAATTTCCCACCATTAAATTTTTTTTGCCAAATTAAACCTTTTCCTGAAGGGGGCTTACTATTCTTGAAAAATCTTACATATGAAGGGCGTCCAAAAAAGTAAACCGAAGTGATTTGAATTTAATTGACACTTGATTTTCATGTATAATTATTATTACGTAACAATATTCATCATATGTTTACATTTGCTGAGGTATTCAAAAAATAGACCTGCATAGTCCAAATTCCGTTAGGGTTATTTCTTTGTCAATTTACCAGTGTATGGTATCGACATTTCATATCTTGTAATTTTTTAAGCAAAAGGTGATGATATGATAGATTCGGCTACAGCTGGATATAGTGTCGTTAGCTGTTTTTATACCCAGGATAGCAGGGTTGAGGAACGTTTGCACCACCTTGAAAGTAACATCAGAGATCCTGTAAAATATATGTATTATTGATCAGAGTATGAAATCCTGAATCCATATAGCAATGGTTGGCCGTCCATCGGTCCGTTTTCTCTTCTGTCTGCTTATTTATCTATAATAAGTATTCTTGTAGACACATAAATTAGGCTAAGGGCTTAAAATTCCGTAAAAAACTTTGGAAATTTTTGCAACCAACTTAATAATGAAAATGATCTAAATTGGTCAAAGTACATGTGCACAGCGTAAAATAAGAACATCTCTATTTTCAAGAGCAAAAAGACTGGCTTCTTTCTTGCTCGTTACTCATAAATTACAACAATAAATCTTTGCATAGTCCACTTTAATATAAAGGTGATAGGTCCAAAAAATTCCGCCACAGCCAAATATAATTTTTTTTGCCATTTTTCTATTTTCTTATATAAGAAAAAGTTGTCATTTGAAAACAGTGATAAAAGATATTTTATTTGAAGTATTTCCGCTAACTACACCGTCCGTCCGTTTTGTCTTTTTGGTAGAATATTAATTCTATGCCGCAAGAACATCCGAGCTGTAAACCTTTTCATAAAACACTTACTTTTTGCACATGATCAGAAGGCTTGGCATCGTGTTTGAATAAAGAAGGCGCCATATCTGACGAAAATAGCGTCCTTATCCTGGAAAATGATTCTTGTATGGTCGGCTCCATTTATTCAGTTGTTGGTGTGGTAGTACTCTATAACATAAGAAAATCGCTCAGCTGATCACGCCCGATCTGGGATAATCTAGGAACATGCCCCAGACATGCGACCCAACATATGTATAAGTGATTAGTGTAGAAGAGGTGTCCGTCTGAAATTTCCCGGTGAAAGGCTAATGATCGTAGAAATCATGATAGACAGTAGATATTACGATAGAAAGCTGAAACGCTCTAAATTTTTACTCGATGGCAACAGTTGCGGTCAGAAAGTTTATTGCAAAAATGGTCTCGATCATCCAACTGAACCACTTATGCGGTGTATGTGATAATTAAGAAAAAATTGATACTAACCTCAAACTAATTTGTTTTTTTTTTTTTTTTGGTCAATATTTATATACAGTTACATGAAATGTTGACACAAATCATAATAGTTACTCGATAACATGCCTATTAGTTCGCAGTCAGCAACGACTTTATGCCATTATCAAATGCTCTTTGTTCATGTTGATCATTGTTGATGTTAAAGCATTTATTAATAATGATATGATCTTGTGGGGTGATTCATGCAACTACACCTTATAGATAATAATCGAGGTTGTCAAGGACCTTTTTTTTAAGTTTGGGGGTGATACGATCATAGAACTTTTTGGCCACCCAATCTTTGTTGTCATAGTTTTGTGTGAAATAGGCGAACCTTCCTGGAATACGTCTAGTCCATTCCCACATACTATATATAAAAAAGATTTTGTCTGGCAATAATACAGACAGAAGGAAGGGGATTTAACATTCATTAGTTTTTGATTCCGTTTTTCCGTCAGTATAAACCCTTTACCCTTTACTCTTTATCCTCTCTATATAATGGAGAACTTGTGGTGTTGGGATACTGCAGTAGCAGTAATTGTCAGGAATTTTCGTCAACGATATCCTTCATTTGTTGGATAATGGCTAATGGATAATATATATGTGCTTGTATCACCCTACTAATTATGCCAGTGCAAAGGGCTTATACATAAACATTATGTGCAATTCCGTGAATTTATTTACTTTGTAAATTTGAAATTTCATTTTAAGACTTAATAGCCGTTTGTTTATATTGTATTTCCAAGAGCTCAGGTAGTGAGCATTAAATCGAATGTTATTGTTGTTTTAAGAAAACTAATCTTATGATCCACGCAACGATTTACATGATGCATGTTCAAGTATACATATTAGATAAGTACACAACATTTTTACTGTAATTTGTTTATTGCATTGCCCGCCCGCTCGCTTCAATAGATGTGCATTCACGATTATCGGTTATATGCGAATGTTTTTATTGAAAAATAGTTTGTTCGTTTGTCAATTGTCAATGTGTATTTCTAGTGTAAGTTTTGATCAATGCTGAATGAAAATGCAATGTAAACGAAATCGTATGCAGATTTAAGTCGCCTAAAACTGAAGACAAAAAAAAAAAAAGAAAAAAAAAAAAAAATTAAAAAAAAAAAGAATTTCGTCTGCAAACGAATCTTTCATACCGACAAGTTTTATTTTAAAAAAATTAAAACAAGTAAGAAAATTGCATTCAATTGTGATCATCGAATTATTTTTCCCCGCCCCCCATTTTTGTACTTTACAATATTGAATGGGCGTGGTTGATTTATTCCATTTGTTTAGACTATAATTAAACGTTTTTATCCTATGTCTATTGTATTATAGTTTATAAGCGAAGAGCAAAGGTGTGCTCAGCTCAATTCGTGTTGCAATGTAAATATATCCTTAAACTGATTTGATCCATTTCCAACGCCCGCATGCGTGCAGGAACTTCCAATATCAAATTTGAAGCCGATATATTTATCCCTGCGGCCGGGAAACTATTAATCAAAGAGACTATGCAGATGGGAAGATGGGAAGATGGACAGATGGACGGATGGGCGAGAAGACAGACGGATATTCCTATATAGATCCCGACTTTGATACTGATGACATATACATATACGTAGGTTCCCTTCTATCCGCCTGAGTGGCCGAGTAGGCAAGAGTCTCGACTAGTCGTAGGTTCAAACCTCAAGTGCGCTAGAGTTTTTAATAAAAAGCCGATAGCCCTAGATGCTAGTGCTTTAAGACTTTAGTCTTAGAATTTATTCTCTGGCTAAATTAATAATAATAATAATAATAGGTTCCCTTCTAACATCAGAGCATTTCTAATCGGGATCAAGTTCTGAAGAGTTCAAGCACGCCCGCCTGTGTAGCGTTATTGCGGGGAACTTTTCGCGTGTGGTCGCAAAAATAATAAAATTAAGGAATTTGACACAAAATTAAAAGTTCTTAGACGCAGGCTATCGAAAGACGTGCCTGCAGTGCAACATAAGCTAAGAGTATCTATACTTTCTGGGCTTTTCGCTTATAAACGTTAACGATTACAATGATAAACGTATGTTATCATGTTTCATGCGTAATCCTATAGTACGCGTATAAGAAAATTAAAAAAATGCCTACACCCACTCAATACTACAGAATACCAAAATTTCATTTCATATGCGTTTTTTTATTGAGAACAAAGTGGTAGGTATAAAAAATTCGGCCACAGTCGAATATAATTTCTTTACTTGCTTTATAATTGATTGTACATTAAACTGTGCGTTATGTAATTTGCCATTGAAGCAGGCTGGTGAAATAATTTATTAAGAGTTCCTTCTGTCTGTCCACTACTTGAGTTAGCCACGATTTTGATATAAACGTAGGAGCTATAGACTGTGAAGTATACAACTATAATTTGAAAATATAATAGCATATGTGTTCCTCGATAGTTGATTAGCTGGCATGAGCTTATCCAATAAAATAAAAGATATCCTTTTTTACGGTAGCGATTTATTAGGAGGAACAGATTAATGGACCTGGGATCTCCCATGAATGTCTCTCCTAAAAAATGCAAAAATGTCAATAACGGAGCACCTAAGTATGTTAATATACGCTGGGTGTACGCACCAGTTGTTAGTTGATATAATTGCAAAGTTACACAATATTTTGTCGGGGTTCTGTTGAAAGGAAAGACGACATAAAAGCATTCCTGGAGCGAGACGTACTAATGCTGGGAGTATATGGAGTGTGTTTAAAGTAAAAACAAGATTCATAGGGCTATAGCTAAGTGAAATGTTTCGTCATCGGGGGGGGGGGTTTGCGTTTATCATAGCTTGAATGGACAGATCAATAAAAATTATATATTATATATATATATTATTATATATATATTATAATTAAATTATAAATACAATGCATAAAGACATTTTTAGAGATCTAGTCGAGTTTGCTGCGATATTCATCATTAAAAGAAAATGCTGTGGATCATGTAAATCCACTCTTGATTCACAATGTTCAGTTTCTCTGCGATATACTGGTACAAGAAACTAGACGATCATGTCAGGATAGAAGGCCATAGCGCTAAACAGTTAAATGAAATAATTTTGGGAAAAGATCATCAAAAGCATTCCCACATTTCTATCAATAATTTGATATCTCTTACAGTGTTTGACGAAGATGTTTATTAGGGCCATCAACAAGTGCCTTCTTCTCTCTTTTTCTTATCCATTAATAACCTTCCGGGCATAACCGAAAATCCTTTCTATTTGTTTGCAGACGACAGCACCTTGTGTTATTCGTTTTCTGTTAGTAAGAGACCACGCAGCGATGAAATACAGAGCAAACACTGCAGGATGAATGACACACTAAATCGGGACCTCATAAAAATATCTGGATGGGGTCGGTAAGCAGGCTAAGCTATAACGCCATCAAAATCCAAAGCTGTCTCCTAGCGTACAGAAAAAGTTATGAACAATCCCTCTCTTTTGGTGGTGGCACTGTAGAAGAATCGACAATTTCTGAAGTCCTGGGAATGAGAATACAAAACGACGTTCGTTGGAGAGAATAGGCGTTTAAAGGGGCGAAGGCATAGTCAAGGGTTTAGGTTTTCCAAAGCGATGTAGACAATACTTCACTGCAAAAATTAGGGTATAATTCGCATATGTGATCGGGAGCCTCCAAACTTTGCACGGAAGATGTCGATCGCACACAGCGAAAGGCTTTGATGCTCATAGACGGCAAAAATGTGTCCAGAACTCTCGATACCATTGAACATCGGTGTAATGTGGCTTGTGTTGCGCTTATCTGCAGATACATTCATAGCATGTGTTCTACGCCAATAAAGCCCAAGTTATAAGTAAAAAAAAAGCAATCCCACCAAATAAAGCCTTCAACAGGACTACATGTCTGTCTCAGCTTTTTCATCTACTCGCCTTGGACTTACCCGTACACCACACAATACATTGTCACGACGCGGGGTTTTTTAACCGTACTGCCTACCTTAGCAACGTCTTATCAGCAGTGTTTTTTTCTTTTCTTTACGTATTGGACAGAGGACATGTCCAGAGTTGGCTGATCATAGGAAAAGAAATGAACACAAGGCTTTCAATTGAGTTGGGCATGCATCTCTTATCTGTTAGGTCCACATGAACGTGAATACGCGACTAAATTTTGTTATATAGCTAGGAATACGTTTGGGACTATTTTTGGGGAAAGTTTTATGTTCATACTAATGATAATAATAACCTAAGGATTGCACCGTCCTAGGCGCCCACAACTAACAGAGAGCAAATTAATTTTCAAACGGCAGAAGCAAATATCTTACAGCTTATTCATTAACTTGACAAAAGGTGAATCCAGACCAGTGGTGGGCGACTATTTTCGTCAACGGGCTAGTTTTAATTTTCATCTCACGTCCAACTATTATTAGAAATGCGCCATTCTGTCTCTATTTTCCTTCTTTTTCAATCACTCATTTTGCGACCATAAAAAAAAAAAAAAAAAAAAAAAAACTGTAGTCTGTAGTAGTTCTATTGTGGGTCAATTTTCATCGTTACACATTATAACTTAGACTTTTCTGCTCCATAAAGGATCAATTGTCGTGAAAATCCTTATTAGGGTAGGCTCCAAGAAATAGGCCCAGATGGTTAAAATTTGGTACAGTTAATTAATTTTATGTTAAATTATTATTGTAATAAAATTTTCATCATGAAGCATTGAAAATTATATCTTTTTGTCCTATGAACTTCAGTTTTTGTTATATGGAAGCGGATCCAAAAATTGCTTTAGCCTGTCCAAAGTTTCCCTACCAATTTAGTTCGCCGAAATACTACTGTTTAGCCACTTTCGCCGAGAAATTTTGAAAATTGCAATATTTCAGAATAGGTCGTTATATGGGGAATAGTCGAAAAAGTGGACCGATCCGAACCATTTTCGATAGCGTTTGTCTTTGGGAAAAAACACGTCAATGTAACAAATTTCATGAAAATATCTCAAAAATTGCGGCCTGTAGTTTGAACATAACTGTACATGGATAGACATCACACGGTTAGGCGGACTGATAGGGTTAGATAAATTCAGATTATGATTGCGAATCTATGGGTATGATAAAAGATGGATTTATCTTAAGCCCTTCCGCGTGTTATACACATCGGCACTAACTTAATATACTCTGTAGCACAAGTGGTGTAGGGTATCAACACCTAAACACGTTTCACGTTTGCAGCTGAATTGGTAGCGAAGGCAGGTACGATCCATTTGTAGCCTTGCTATGTGCGGGAAAATTGAATTATTTAAAATTTTAAATATACCAAACTGTACTCGGTGACATCGCAGGCCTATTGCGGCACTGGAGCGGGCAGTTATTCGTACGTGATTTAGGCCATCTGTAATAGTTTTAAATTAATTCGCCGTTTTAAAATTTACCGAAAGGTAAACAAATTGTGAAAGAAAATTTGCCATTAGATAAAATAATAGCAGAAAGGAAGTCGGTCTCCCGAGAAAACAAAATTGTAACGAGGGATAGTTTCTTCGCGAACCATCAAAGAAAAATAATTCATGTTACAGTTGTCACAACCATAACAAAAATGCTGCTGGTATATATTATGTTCATCTATCACACTAATCGACTTAACAGGGTCGCAATACGGTTCATCGTGTCTTCATCTAATATAGCATGTATTTGTAAAACACATGTCTCATGATTATGTTCATAAATTTAGTATTAGAAAATAGAAATAAAGACCAATTTAGTTAAATTTAGTTGTATTGTTTCATTTATACAAATATATGTGACATCACACAATGTCAAATGAATGACGAGAGAAAAAATTATTCAATAAATTTCAAATAAACCAAAGAAATGTTAACTATTCTTCTATTACTTGTGGGCGTGTTAGCAAACGCATTGAGAATGCTTTTGAATCGAACTTTCCCGAAGGGGAGGGGGGGGGGGGGGTGGGGTTTAAAAATGCACATATGCCAATTATTTTCGTACGTATCTCCAAAGGATGAAATGTATAATTTTTTTCGAAATGGCTTTAGTTTTTCACCTATTGTAGATGTAAGTCGTCAGCGAATCAAGCTTGTTTTTAGTACAACCTCTTTCCCACAAGTGAAGACAATGTAGTGGGACGCGGTCCACCGTTAAATAATCTGTTATTTGAAAATAATGTTTTATATGAGAAGTGTTCGAAAAAGGCGTTGAATCCGAACTGTTTGCAATAGCGTTGGTTCTTGGCTAAAACATCTCTGTGTACCAAATTTCATCAATGCATTTCAAAAATTGTGATATTTAGGTCGACACATCAAAAAATAAAATAGATTGACGGACAGACAGCTAGGAGAGTTCCATCGATTGAAAGATGGGTATATCTCACGTCCTTTTCGGCCCTGCATACATCCGTACAAACTGGTTATATATTTCTACCACAAGTCGTATAGGGTATAAAAGAAAATTTTAAAAATATCTGAAATAAATGCTTAATATTTTTAGTGAATTAACAAATTTTGGACAAAGTATATTCGACTTAGGCCGAAATGTTAGCAGATATTTGATGGCAATATTGCTCCATACGATATATCGATCGTAAATCGTTTTGTCCGTGTAATATTATATGTTATACGTGCACTTCAAATCAGTTTTTTTGTGATTTATCAGTCGCTGGCAGCTAATTGCAAGACTTGATCCGTTTCAGGTGATTTTCGAATTAAAAAAAAAAAAACGCTTCACAAAAGAAAAATTTAAGAATCAATAAAAAACTTGACATTTCTAAGTGAATTATTTCCAAATGGAAAGAAAATCGTCATTTTTGTTGGTGATTGTAGATGAGTCCGTTTACCGATTCGGTTCATTTTTGACTTCAATCTGACAAGGGTGATAAAAAAGAAAGTATACGATGAAATTATTTTAAATTTTCATGTTGATTCTTTGCTCGTGTAAAAAGTTATTTATAGATATATGTGGAAAATGACTGAAATATCTGAAGAAATACGCTATGTGATGATTTTCTATTGTAAAAAAGCTAAAATATGCAAAACTATGCGGAGAAAGTGTGAAGTGTACGGTGAGACTGTTGTGAGTGAACGAAGTACCCAGGAGTGATTCCATGTCCAAGATGCGTCTTGCTTTGGCCGACCAGGCATGAAAAAAGTCAATATAATTTTGCAATTGATGGAGAAAAACCGGCATGCAAGCTACCATGAAATAGCGGAGGCACTAAACATCAATCACATGATATTTCAAACTATCAGCATTTGAAAAAAGCAGGCTACAAAAAATAGCTCAAACGAAGACGACAAAAACCGCATAGATGTTTTCTATCACCCATTGCAATAATTAAAAATTTTGCCCGAACTTTCTGACTGTTTATGAGGCAGTTTATGACAACTTACTCGTTGTTAGCACCCGATCTCACGCATCTTTTACTCTCTTCATTTTGGCCCTTAAATTCTAACTCCGTGTAATGATCTGTCCGTCCGCACTTTAATGCGTTCATTCGTGGCATATTATAGACACCTTGGGCCTTGTAAAAATTTAGATAGATTGATGGCGACAAATCAACTTTTGCAATAATCCTGATCAGCAATATATTGTAAGCTAAATTTCCAGCATATAGCAGCAGATGTTCAAGCAAATTTTGATAGGACCGCATAAGATATTTGATTGCAACTGATGCTAATGAAAGACATTTCAATTTGTATATATTTACTGGAAACAGAATAGATAACGTAGATTTATTTTAAAGGTAACTATGGCTTTCTTTTTGTGATAATACGAATAAAGTCAGAATTCAATTAGCCGCGACATTATTTCTTAGCAAATACAAATTTCAGTTTAAACAATTGCGGAGCATTTAAATCTCGAGTTTAACCTTAGATTTTGTTTCTCATAGAATAGAAAGGTAGGGAGAGTGAGTGAGTGAACGCGAGAGGGATAGAATACGAGTGGTAAAGAGAAACGGAAAGACAGAGGAAGAGTTGACATCACTTAACATTGTTGCGAGAAAGTCATAGATAATAACAGTAAAATTAGTAAATAGACCAAAAAGAAATTCAACACTTGTTGAAAAAAAAAAGAAAAGAATTATATATATATATATATATATATATATACATATATGTATATTTCACCACTGTACACAAATGTAGAGTAAATTGAGTAGTTTTCCGTGAGCTCAATGAGCAGAATGAACTCAGTCGAGTGCAGATTGTCAAACATAACGGTTATAACGAAGAAGAGGATAAAATTTCTTCATTATTTTAAACAAATATTCTAACTAAATACAAAGTGTTTTCCTTAGGTTTAGGGAAACATTAAATAAAAGTGAATAAAATGGGTTGTGCGTACGTGTAATAAAAGAAGTAAATGATTTTATATAAAATTAATAAATTATTATTAAAATACCTAACTTAAAGATGTCCCACAAAAAAAATTTCATTCGAAGTTTTGCCCAACTGTTTTGACTTGCAGTTAAAGAAACGAATAAATAAATAAATAAAATAAAATAAAATAAAAATAAAAGAAAAATCATATATATATATATATACATATATAAAATAATTCTGATGTTGTCGTATAGTATGGAAGCAGTATGTCCAACTCTTTAGTTACGTTGTCATCCTTTAATTTGTTATTTTTTACACAAGGTACGTACGCGTAACTTTACATAACATTTTTTTTGCTCCTCTTAAAAACAAGCCACAATTATTGCATTGTATGTTACTTCCTTTCATTCGTTACCCAAATCCATGCACTCACATAATACGTTGAGTGAATAACAGCAAAGGAGGGTGAATAAAATCAAAAGGAAATCAACTCCATGAAACTTCACCACTGAAATTCATTTGTGTTATTTTCTTCTTTTCTTATTTTTTTTTATTTTTATCTTATTTTTTGCTTTCACAGTCAATAAGTTTTTGATGTGGGTATGTGTGTGTGTATATGTGTGTACGTATGTATGTATGTATGTGTGTGTGTGTGTGTGTGTGTGTGACTCTGTCTGCCAATAGTAAAAATAATTCTTATGATTTAATTAGTACTTGGATATTTGTTGAAGTATTTCGTTATAATCCCACTAATTTACCTATAATTCGCTTAGTTATCCCGTATTTTTTTTGTAATTTTTCCATCTACGCAAACACGTAAACATTTCAAATCAGTTAATTTACTTTGCTTGATTTTATTGTTTCATTTTAAATAAATAAATAAGTAATTATAATTGAATTCTTTGTTATTATACATACATTATTCTCAACAAGGTTATTTACGCTTTCATATGAAATTGATATCTATATGTAACGCCTAAAAGAAATTCATTGGTACGGTCTCTACCGACATTTATTCTTACTTCTCTGCCTTCAGCTTTATTTTGCTAATAAAGAAAAAAAAAAAAAAAAATTCAAAATAAAGGAAGAAACAACAATTGTGCAGACACCTTGGCGTATACGTTACTTTATTCTTCTTACAATTATTTTTTGCATATTTACATGGTGTAAATCGCTTATTGTATCTGTTGGCGGCAGTGAGTTTTCAAAAAAAGATATAAAAAGTATTTTCAGGAGACTGGGTTAGGTTGAATGTAGAACAAATTAGTTTGCGTTGGTTGGCAAAGGTTTTGCTTATATTTCTTTATTTTTTTTTTTTATTTTTTATTTTTTTTTGTTTTATCTATAGGCTGGTGGGTTGTATTGGTTTTGTTGTATGCCGTTTGCAACACTTTCGTGTTGTGATATTGGCAGACCTATTACAAAGTGTACATAAGTTCTCCATTTTATACTCATCACCAAAGGATAAGGGGTAGATTCCTTTTGTCAGAACGTTTGCAACGCCCAGAAAGAAGCGTCAGAGACCACCGTGCGTCCACCTGCGTAATGTTTGTTGTAAATTTTGTTCTGGTCGCTGAACTGAAGGTATTGTCTTCAAATTTGGCAGAAACACTGAAACTTCTTGCACGCCCACAATACTGTACGCAAAGTGAGAACACCGCTGCTTTTCAAAAGGAATAAAAGATTGGTTTTTTGTCCATTACATATAAACCACACACATATAATTTTACGAAACTTATATATGTTTAGTCTGTGAGTGATACTGTAGTACCTGTAGGACTATGGGAAAGATAGACCACGCCCATCTAATATTATAATATATGCAAATTCTTCTTATTTTTTCAATAAATTTATATCGTGCAGAGGCATGTTTTAGAAACCCCACAAGATATATAAATTTTTGTTCAGTTACACGTTCGAAATACACTTGAAGATGTCCATCTGTATCCCGGCTATGTTGTATCTGCGATAAATATTCTCCCTTTCACAAAAATGAAGACATCGATTGCATAATTTGTAAATCTTTGCTTTCCAACACCAACAAACGATATACGACATAAATTTCCGCTAAATTATTGTACAAAAATAAAAAACAAAAAACACCCATGGAGAGCCAATATTATCCTTTTTCAATTTTTTATACGATAAAGATGGTGATAAAAGAGGGTATAAAATATTCGTTCCTAACTGGGATATAATTCCCTTACTTAATTTAAATATGATAAAATTCATAGTCGATTTACTTTTAATTTTCGTGCCCAAATTGTTAGCTCACTCAAGCTTTCAAACGTAAAATAGAGAAAGCTAAAAATTTGGCACTCATATATATTTTTATCATACGCGCATAAGATGGATTTCAAAATGAGCAATTACGATGCACCCCAAAGGTCCATAGTAGCTATGTCAATAACTTACAATCTACTGTAGTGGGCGTGAATCTAAAATCTGTTCCGTTAGAAAAAACAATTAAGAACACTATTGTCGAGCAATGCCAACTAATTAGACACCCTACGCCAATCCGCTTAATACGGACGTTTATTCATTTTCAAGCTAATACATTAAAAATTATGCATTATTTTTATGTGAGAGCGTAATTTTCATGAAAGTCTCTCCTCAACTAACGTGATCCAAATTTAACTAACTCAATTTACTGGCCAAAGATTTTAGTAAATTCCACTTGCTTTCATCATAAAAAATTGCAAATTAGATTTTGTCGCTATAGAAGTGTTTCCCTTGTATGCGAGTCCATTTATATGCCTGGGTTTAAGTAAAAGACCTATTTGATCCAAATTTTATATCAAATTCCTTTTATGAATCAATTTTCGTCATAAAATGTCAAAAGTTGGAAATTTTTGCCATATATGAGCTTATCATTTTTTCAAGATCTTTTCATGAGTTTGAGACCCGGAAAATATATTTACGTCGTCGAAATTTCGGTGTCTACGTCAAATTATTATACACGAATTTTCATCAAGAACTATTGGGAATTATATCTTTTTGCTATATAAAGATTTAGTTTCGATAGGAAAATTTATACGATGAAGAGTTCAACGAATTTTTAAAAATTAGTGTATATTTTCATATAATTGTTTATGTATGTTGTGTGGGGAGGGGTCGAAAAAATGGATCGATCCGAATCATTTCCAATAGGGTTTGTACTTGGGCAAAAAAAAATTGCGACATGTAGGTTGAGCATAAAAATAAATGGGAGGGCATTAGACGGACAAGCCGAGATATAAACTTAGATCGGTTCAGAAAATGATTCTCAATCTACAGGCATAATAAAAGATGGGTCCAACTGAAGTCCGTCTGGGTATTACAACCGTCTGCACAAACTTAATGTGCCCTATGCCACAAGTGATCTAGTGTATAATGGATATGACCAGCCACTCAATTAACTAAATATTTTGCAGTTTTTATATATATTTTCATGACGTGCGATCGTTCGGCACCGAAGTGAATGTAAATTTGCTAAAGCTCCTTCGGAAAAGGGGAATTTGGCATCTCGTTTGGGAGTAGATGTCAAAGATCCCTAACTATAGGGGCATTCTTGATCTATTTGGCCACATTTGTCCGTCCGTCACTTTTTTAATAGAGCTCTTATGAATCTAAAAAATAGTAAATAAATAAAAATAAGTTTAAATTGGATGCAACTAGATAGTCCGCTACCAAATACATCTCGATTTACTAAGGAAACGAACACAAAACCCTTAAAACGATAAAATTTTAAATTAATATTAACTGTAACTTGAAGTTATAAGAGATGGCAAATTTAAAATTTGGTCACAAATCTTATTTATTGTAGTCTTCTCAATCCAATTGTCTCTCAGCCAATTGTCGCGTCGTAAAATTTTCAAGTAGTTTAAGTAAAAGTTAAAGATTCACCCGAAGGCAAATATAATTTTTCTTAGATGTTACTGTTTAACTTGTAACTTGTTAACAAAAATCAAAAATTAATGACAATTCCTATTACCTTTCTTTAATGGTAAGTATTTCTGTTTTTGATTACGTTAAGCAATTCAGTTAACAGGGAAATTGTTTTTAGTATTTATATTTTATAATGTCAAACTAAGCGTTCCATTATATAATAGATAGAAGAAAATTAAAATGATTATTAATATGTATTTTTCCTTGTTATAAAACTTACTTATGGGAAGAAAAATTTTAAAATTCAGATAAGAAAATATCAATATATATATATATATATATATATATTTTATATGAAATTTTTCAATTAAGTAGAACACGGTTTCTCTATCACATTTGAATGAGTATAAAATTTATTAAGTAAAATATTGTGTTGTTTTTTTTTTTTTTTTTTTTTTTTTTAAGCTAACTGAATAGGTCTAGATGCTGATATTGCTGACTAATATCGCAATGAAATTATATAATCGATTAAAAAGATTGTATCACAATAGTTACCATATACCGAATAGTGTAAATCATTTTTAAAGCGCATAAGAAAAATTGTTAACCTAATAATTTACGGTTAATAAACATTAAAATAAAACTCAACTCATAATAGTGATTTATTTTAAGAAAATATATATTTTGAACACACACACACACACACACACACACGGAATATTATATGAAAAATAAGAATTTATAAGTCCGTTAAGTTGTAACATGTTGTTATGGTAGACATTACTTATTCAGTCGATTTGCTTGCAAATAAAGTGCGAATCCTTGGTTTGCATTTTTTCTTTATCAAGGATAAGAAACGGTATACATATTATATTATGTGTGTGCTTTTAGGCAGGCACTTGAATGTACTCGTGGTTTATGGCGTGGTTTACGCTATATAAGAAAAATGAAAAATCTTAAAAGCATTCTCTTCTCTTATATTCTTATGATCGAAAAATAAAGTACACTAATTATATTCTTCCGTTTTTTAAAAGATTGAAATTTAAATAAATCAAACTCCTGTAAAATACGTAGTGTGAGTTACCAAGAAAGAAAGAAAATTTTATTATTTTATATTATATTCTTCTAATTATATTGAGACGTATCACATGGGAAGCAAGAATTAGGGAGCTTACCGAAGCTGCTTCAATATTTGGGCTGGCCAAATCATTATTAAAAATAATTTATTTGAGCTACGGATAGTTGACGATCACAGTGATTATCTTAATTAAGTTTAAGGCTACAATGGCTAAAATATTGTGAATTATGACCAACTCAAGTATGCGAACATGTTGTTGATATCTTCTCTGTGAAATTGTTATTCAAGGCTGACTCAAGGCTTTAGGCTGCTTATTATAGATACGCACTTGAATATATATTTTAAAAATGTTTTCCGTTCGAGAAGATGGACTTCT